CATCAACTGAGAGGGAAAGGGGTGGGTGCAGCAGGGAAACAGAGCAGAAGCTGGAATCACAGTGCTGTGGATGGGGAGCTCCATTACAGCAACTATTCCTGGACATGAGTTTGGTGACCTGCTAGTCCAAAACCAAATCTCTTACCACTAGCTAAGACAAACCCAAGAGATGTAGCGAGGTCTCAAGAGCCAGTGCTCCTGTCCTGCATGTCACCCAGTGACCTAGGCCAGGTCTGGACTACACATATTTTGGTGCAGGGGAGTGCATGGCGTGAGGGTGGGAGTGGATGAAAGTAATTATTTTCCCTTTCCACGAGGCCATGCACTGAATGTTGTTGTATTAAATGGCCAGCATTTCAGACAGGGCAATGTTAGCATCATGCCTGTCTTCTGCAAGTTTTCTTCAAATACTAAAGCGTGTAGTGTGACCAGGTCTCCTCAAGATGACAAGCATAGTATGCTGCCTTCATGATTTTCTCTTTCTTGCATGAGAACATTTTCTCTCTTGCTGTATGTGTTGAGCCCATTTCCTGTTTTGAAATTTCTATGCTGGCTTCTGGTCACTGGCAGAGGACACAGTGTTTTATTCTTCTAGCAGCTGCGGCAGCTTCATCTCTCAGCATCTCAGCTTGACTCTGTTAACCTTTAGTTATGTTGTTGTCCACTGCTCTCTCTTACTCATTTCTTATGGGCTTCCCCACTGTTTTACTGATTTTATCATTCCAGGCTTTTTCTTTGCCCTCTCTTTAACTATCTGCTCTCTCTATAACTATCCAAAAGTTTAGATTTCTTTTGCAGTCAAAGGAGAGATGCAGGCCCTCAAGAAGGCAGAGGTGCACCTCCAAGCATTTTCTCAATAAAAAGATGCAGAAATATGTTGGTGCTGAGAAGAGTCAACCAGTTTGGAGTAAACTATATGCCATGAGATTTCTCACCAATGGTTCACGAATCACAAAAAGGTGCTTTTTTCTTTTAATGTCCTATTCTGTGGAGTTTGGCCTTTTCAAGAGGTCTCTTTTAGCCTGGAGAAAGCAAAAGCAGTAAGCAAAATATGTATTGCAAAGAAACACTTAGGCTGCTGGCTAGCCCATCCAGTGAAGGGAAATGCCATGCCTCTTGTGGATCCATCTAACCTGGATGGGGTTATGGGGCTCTGAAATGGACAAGAAAATACTAATTATTCCTTGTGGGTATTCTCCTGAAGACCCTCTCATAGGTAGCTCCAGTTCTGGCTATCTGTGAGACATTGAGAAATTGTCTGTTCTGGTTCAGCCTGCTTCCTCTGAACCCTTATTTCCACCATGGTGTGTGAGTTAAAAAGGAAAGGGCCTCTTTCTAATCTCTCCTCTCATAAGTGATGTACAGCTTGCTCTTCCTCTTGCTAAGTCCCCCATTCCCCAGTTCTTCTCCCTGGTTATCCCCTGCTATTCCCTAGGCCTCTTTGCTTCTCTTTCTCCCTCTTTCCTCCCTTTCAATCCAGGCTGATCCTCTCGGACCACTTTCTCCTTAGGTCTCCTTAGATTGCTGCTCCTGGTTTCCCTGATGGAAGCTGAGGGCAACAGACGGCCGGTTTTTTTAGCCATCATAGCTGGCAGCATCATGATGGAAGCTGAGGGCAACAGACGGCCCTCATAGCCATCATGATGGCTATGATTTTAGCCATCATAGCTGGCAGTATCGTCTATGTATGCACTACAGCAAAGGAAAAAAGCATATTCCCTGCAAAGCAAATGGATCAAGTGATCAAAATAGTGCTCAGAGAAGTAGGCAAAAACATTGGAAAACAATAGGATTTGTTCAGCCCCTTAGTTATAGCGCAGAGTAGCTGTACAATACAAGGGGTTTCTCAGGGCAGAGGGTTTATAGTAACTTGCTCTGGTTGCACCTGCATGATTCCTACCCTGGGGAAACCCAAAGTAAAAGCAAAAATGTATTTGGACAAGTTTCAGTGAGAAAAATGCCTGAGAAGTTAGAGATGTTGGGATGCTATTGTGCAATTCATGAATATTCATGAATATAGAAAGACAAAAACAGCAGCTGAAACTCATCCAGCAATTGTCTGTAACTGCAGAAGCTGGGAAGTGCCAATCTGTAGATCAGTGCGGATGCACACTCACTTGGAGAATTTAAGGATGAATTAAGAAACTATAGCATTATGCTTTCCGCCTGGCCCATGGAAATCTGATTTAACAGAAGATTTCGAAGCTATGGGGAAATAGAGATGCAATGCAGCTGCACTGCTTTTAACACAACCTGTTAGTCATGCAGGAGGACTTTTTTAGCTGGTAGTAAAACTGAAGGATTGAAGTAAATTAAGTAAAACTTCAGGATTAAAAAAGGTACTCCAGATTGATGTTTTTAGGGACTGAACGGTAAACCTTGCTGTATTGGTGCTTTTGAGCTAGCAATGCGTATTCTCATTTAATTTGTTTCCTTTAACCTCTGAGACTCCCCATAACAGGGTGACAATTCCCAGATGGCCCAGTGCCATTTCTCTGGAGGTGTGGAATGTCTTACGGGGACATCCTGCACATTCCAGCCACTGCCAGAGCAGATGCTGGAAATGATCAAAGAGGGAATTTGGAGTTAGTGAGCCCAAAGGACTTGTAATTGAAAGAACATTTGGGGCAAATATGGCTGTAGATTTGGGAATGGTAGTGATTACAAGCTTTGACAGCTTGGCTATTCAATTAAGCATTTGGAACCTCAATAGTGAGAGGCTTTACTTAGGCTATTTAAACAATCCTGGGTGAAAGGCTTACTGTTTGTTATAAATTACTTACTTTTGTTACAACTCCATTAGAATTGCTTCTAAATTTGCTATAAATTCAAAAAAATTTATGAGTTCTCGGTGATTTCTAGGTAGGTCATAATCAGATGTTTCTGTTGTTAAATAAATTGAATGAGATTAAGACTGCAGCAGGTATGTTTTTGCTGACATTCTTTCGATGTGAGTTTCAGTCAGAGGAATTTTATTAATTAAATTCAATTCATCCATGTGTTGTTGTGTTTTGGAATTCTGTCCAGTTGGCTCTGGATATCACAGATGGAGATGGTAAAAGACTGACTCCATATTCTTTTTTTTTTTTTTTTTTTGTAGGTTTGTTGTCAGTTGTGTGGTTAGCGAAAAAAAATAACAGGGTGCACAGAAAAAGGCATGTTGGAAGAAATGAAGAATGTTATCTCAGTGCTATATAGAAACAACTGGGATAGAAAGTAAATCCATGGCATCTTACAGGGATAAGCTGATTAAGTCATTTGCTGGGTACTGGTCTTGGGAAAGAAAAGTGTGACTCATAGAAGAAATGCTTGTGAGCCAATAGCCTATCTTGCACAGTGACAATGACCAGACAAAACACAAATGTTTGTAAAAAGAACTAGTGGATCTGCCATAGAGATTATTTCTAGAACATCATATGACTTAGGAGTGAGGAAAACTTTTTTGAAAAGGTTTTCTTAATGCCACCCCTTTTGCGACGTTTTTTCAATAAACGGAAGAAAGTCAAGTTAAACATTTACACCGATGCCAAAAGATGCCTTTAGGAACCACAGCACATTGGGAAATGTTTTCACTTTGCACCAGCATGGCTGATGCCACTAGAAGAGAAGTTTGACTGTGTCGGAGGCCCTCCATCCCCAGGTCAGCAGTACATCCATGGCGCTGTGTGATTTTCCAGGGGAGCTGGATGAGAGGGCTGCTTCTACAGAAAAAGTGACCTCTTTGTTGCTATGAATTTCTTGTCAGTCAGGAAAAACAAGTACTCCTCTTTCTTCTTCTATATATTTTGCAGACACCTTCCATTGTGACTCTCTTACAAAGGGAAAAAGTGGAAAGATTCTCATTTAATAGAGACCGATAAAGATACAAGTCCATTTAAATGTATATTCAGTACCAGTTTTATGAAGAATCAAGGATTTTGATCCCTAAGTGGCTGCCATCTGGGCAAATACAGAGATGGGTGCTAATTCACATAATCATTGTTGCTTACTCTAGTTATTTTTGCGTGTCTAGAATTCACTTGCAAGGAATTAT